CTATTTTTCCTTTCTACTACACCATTTTGTTAGGGGAGTTCTAGGTACAAAAAAATTATGTAAAATACCATTTTCTTTACAGTAATTTTCAAAGGATTCATTTTGAAATTCTCCACCATGGTCACTTCTTAACACTTTAATTCTTAAGTCTTTCTCATTTTGAATTTTCTTGGCAAACTTCCTAAAGACCTTAAAAGCTTCATTTTTTTAAAGTTAAGAAAAATGTCCAAGTGTATCTAGAAAAAATATCAACAATTACAAGAGCATAGTAATTTTCACCAAAACTTTTTATCCTAGGTGGACCAAACAAATTTAAATGTAAAGGTTCTAAAGGTTTTGATGTGGAAATAACATTCTTAAATTTAAAGGATGATTTCACTTGTTTACCTTTTTTACATGCATCACATAATCTATCTTTTTCAAATTTTAACTTAGACAAACCAACAACTAAGTCCTTTGATATTAGTTTGTTTAATTGATGCATGTTTATATGAGCCGCTCTCTTATGCCATAACCATGAATTTTCTTCCTTAGCAACTAAGCATGTTATTCTAGTGTTAGATACACAATCCAAATCAATCAAATAGATATTATTATGCCTAATGCCTTTTAATGCTATATTTTCAGAATCCTTTAAATGAATGGTGCAAAACTTAATTTCAAATATTACCTTGAATCCTTTATCACAAAGTTGACTTATACTTAGGAGATTATGCTTTAGCCCATCAACAAGAAGCACATCCTTTATCTCCAAAGTATTTGCACCACCAATGTTTCCGGTTCCAAGGATTCTCCCTTTGTTGTTGTCCCCATAGGTTACATATCCTTGTTCTTTTGCTTTGAAACACACAAATTTCGTTTTGTCTCCGGTCATATGTCTTGAACATCCACTGTCAAGATACCACATAGACTTCTTGGATTTGGAAGTTTCCTACAAAACAAGAACATAATAATCTTAGGTCCCCATAACTTTTGGGTCCTTGGGGTTAGAGACAATCAAATCATTTAACTATAGGAACTCGAACATATTTTCCTTTAGGAACACCAAAATGCTTAATTCTACACCTATTTGAAGTATGACCATATTTCATACAATAAAAGCATGCATTAGATGTAATCTTTGAAAATGATCCATTTTTATTTTGTGAAGATTTAGATACTTTTTCAACTCATACTCTTAGATTTTTATTTTTAGGCTTTTTTAATAGAACATGACAATTTTCTCTATTTTGTACAATAACCTTATCCTTATAACTATCACTTAATTCTTTCTTTGCTTTATCAAGTAAGTGGCTAAGTATGTCAATATCATATTCATACTTTTTACATGATGCACATGCTATTTCTTTATTATCTTTTTCCTCTAAACATGCAATTTTCGTTTTCAAGGATTCCATTTCTTTTTCTGATTTATTCAAACACTTTTTCACAGATTTATATTCATTTTTCAAGTCCTTAAAAGCAGTAAATAATTCTTGATAAGCATTTTGTAAAGCATCATAATCATTTTCATCATCACTTGAGGAAGAGTCGAAATCACTAACCTCACAATCGGAAGAGATATTGTCATTTGCCATCAAATAAATGTTTGCTTCAATTTCTAAATCGCTTGACTCCAAACTTGAGTCACTATCATCCCAAGCAATATAGACTTTCTTTTTAAAGAGCTTCTTGCCTTTATGATATTCATTTTTCTTGTTTGGACAATCGGATTTTACATGTCCTGTTTCACCACAACTGTAACATTTAAAATTTAAAGAAGTACTTTCTTTTACCTTTCCCTTACCTTTGAAAGGTTACTTCCCTTTACATTTCATGAACTTTGTAAATTTCTTGATCATAAGACTCAAATGTTCATCTTCTTCATTTTCTGAGTCTTCTTCTTCCTCCTTCTTGTTCTTGCTCTTAGAAACTTCAGTTTTGAAGACAATGTTTCTCTTTTGGTGTTGACCTTCTTCATCGTTTAGCCTTCCGAGTTCAAGTTCATGCTCTCTTAACTTTCCAAAGAGAGCCGCCATAGACATGGTAGCAAGATTTTGTGACTCCGTGATAGCCGTCACCTTTGGTTGCCATTTCCTATCCAAAGTTTTAATAATTTTTAGATTTAACTCATTAATATAAAAAAAATCTTACATAGCCCGGTGCGATGGTTCACAATATGTGTGAAATGCTTTTGAATGTCAAAAATTGTTTCTCCTTGTTACATCCGAAACATCTCATATTCTTGAATCAATGAATTCTTCCGTGCTCTTTTTACATCATCTGTACCTTCGTGGGTTACTCTTAACATTTTCCATATTTCTTGAACACTCTTACAAACAGATATCCTGTAAAACTCATCAAGGGTTAAAGCAGATGAAATTATATTTCTAGCCCTAACATCATATTGGGCTTTTCTATTTTCTTCAGCCGACCATCTAGAAAATGGTTTTAGTACCTCTTCTCCATTTTCAGTAACTTTAGGAATAAAAGGATCGTTTAAAATTGCATCCCATACACCCCTATCAATAGACTCCAAAAATATTTGCATTCTAACTTTCCAAAAAGGATAATTTTGCCCCGCAAAAAGTGGGGGTCTATTGATAGAAGTACCCTCGGCAAAAGTTTGGTTTTGTCGTGCCATTTTCAAAATTTGAATGACTATCAAAGCAAGCTCTGATACCACTTGTTAGAATCGCGTAGCGGAATGTTTGCATTTATGGATAAAAGCCAAGAAGGGGGGTGAATTAGTTTCTTAAACAAAAATTAGGATTTTAAAATTTTTCCCAAATTTCACCGATTAAAATGCTTTGTAAAGTAAAGAGATAAGGGAAAGAAGATTACACAGTTGATTTATACTGGTTCGGATCAAAAGACCCTACGTCCAGTTCCTAATCACTCAAAAAGAGGATTAACGCTGTCACTATAATCACAGTTTACAAATAGATTACAAATTGAAAAGATAAGAAATAGAAAACACTTCTCTTGAGTCACACAAGAGATGAACACCTCCTTTGAATCCACAAAGGATGAACAACAGGTTTTCCTAGAGACGGCACAACACACAATCCACCAAGAAACCACTCAGTTATTCTTATCGCTTCTAGCCCACACTAGGTTTTCAAAAGCCCATTTTTCTTCCCTACAGAAAGTTCTAGCAGTCATAACTCTTAACTTTTGTATGAAAAATGTTTGTTTATTTGCAGAGAGCCTTAAAGAACCTTAAATAGAGAGAATAGGGTCTGAGAAATGGTGATTTTTGAAAACAGAAGAATTGGAAATAAGGTTTTCGTAAATTGGTCCAGATTTGAATTTTAAAACTCATAACAGACGTAAATAATCGATTATCTTGAGTGATAATCGATTATTCTAGAACCATTTTCGCAGAGGAGCAAAACAGGACCAGGATAATCGATTATCTGGCCAAATAATCGATTCTTTACCTGTGATAATCGATTATCCTGAGTGATAATCGATTATCCCAATAAGCTATTCCTGAAAACAATTTTCATTCTGTGATAATCGATTATCCTGAATGATAATCGATTATCACAATGTATTTTTGATAAAAATGAGTTTTAAGAGGTTTTAAAGAATGGTCTATGTGCTGACTATCTTAGACTCTAATTTTACATACTAAAAAAGACAAACAGAGTTATTACATAAGATTACAAGTCTTCAAGTATCTAAGTCTTTTGTTGTTGAATCATTATCAAAATATTCATGCTTCGTATCCTTATATGTTTAACAAATATTCATTCTTTAATAATTATGTGGAAAAACAACCTTTAGTATATTTCATGTATTCATAAAAGACATGTATTGTATAAAAAAAATTGTTAATTTAAATGTGGAACAATCATAAAAAATTGTAATGAAGAAAATACAAAGAATTTTAGGATTGATTTGTTTTTTTAATGTGTTAAAAAGGCTGAAACCATAAATAAAATAAAATTGAGAGGGCAGTTAAATTTATTTAATATTCTTGTTTTACTTTAATAGAGCTATTTTTTTCTAAGGTGTAAGTTAATTCTAAAAAATAGTGTTAAATAGTGTTGAAATAATTGAATTTATTTTTATATTTAAGTTCACTAAATATATGATAACCTTTTTAATATTTAAATCCAGAGGGAGAAAAATATAATAAGTTGGTTGATTTGACAATATCGTTTGATTAGATAATTTAGTTAATGGATTTTCTTTTAAATTATTTTAAGAGTGCTTTAAACAATATTTATTTTCAAGTTAAAGTAATAAAATACATTTATATGTGGAGAAAAGAAATAACAATTATAATGGAGAGTAAAATCTTTTGTTTTGGTTAATTATATTAAGAAATTAAAAGGTCACTTTATTATTGAAGTTGATGTGGTTGATTAAAATTATTCTTAAAACTAAAATATTTAACAAGTTTAATCCTTAATTTATTACCCGTTAAATAAGTTGGTTTCAAACATTATAAAAATAATTTATTCTCGATGACTTTGTTTTCTATCAATTGATTTGATTCTTACTTTTAGTCTACATTAATTTAATCCTTATTATTAACTAATGCGTACGAAATTCAAGAGTTAAATTGATTTAGTCAGAATGAGACAAAGATAAACTTTCATAGAATAAATACTCTACAGTGCCAATTGTTTCATCATGAACAAATAAGGAACCATTTTGACAAAAGTTTTCAGAATCAAGATTGGAGAAGAAAGATTCAAGATTCAAATAAAAAAAACACATCTAGAATAATCTTATCCTAACCTATTTCAGAACATGGATTTTGTGTAGAAAAAGGTTAAGTACTAAACACAGTATTCAAGGTTTGATGTTGGAATGTGAGTAATAATAAAGAGTTGGATGGAATGCCACAGTGATAAAATCTAAGACGAATAGATACATGATATAAGGTGAGTAATGAAATGTTTATAGCCTCTCTAGAAGAAGAAGCTGTACAACACACAAGAGCTATCATGGAAGCCACCCAAATTCAGCTAGAGTCTCGCCTCACCATCTTCCTTACTTCATCGTCATCTCTTCCGTCGCTTCGGCTCCACCTGCATTCACACTTTTAATTCTATTTTCCAACTAAAACTCTCCACTATAGTTCCTATAAATTCTCACTTTTAACTAGTAAAAAGTTCATTTTAAAGTTCTGATACTACACATTTTGATCAGTACAAGTAATCTAAAAGACATATAATACTAGAGTACAAGAAACCTATAACATCTTCATAAGTACGATATTTCTTTTCATGATTCAACTATCACCCCAAATTCAGTACTGTCATTGGCATAAAATGCATGTAGCACAGAAGTCGAGAAATTAGAGGGATTAAAAGAAGATCACACTTAAATAACCTTTTCAGACATTTCATTCAAAGAAATACATTCATGTTTCAAATATGCAGAGATAGAGACAGAAAAAACTTCAAAATATACAATCTTCATGGAATAATATATAATCTCAAAGCACATAACTTGGTAAACATTTCATTGTTTTTTATTGACACTTAAAATTAATATACAATATGTATTTATCAAACAAGTGTCATGCCGTGACTTCAAAAGATCTTATGTCTGCATTTCTTATAGATTCTTCCTGAATGAAGATGAATGAACATCTTGTGAAGAATTAGCAACAAAACTGAATGAGCATGTGAGGCAAAATACGTAAATAAAAAAAATATAAATTTCTGCTTCCCAATAAAACAGACAAAATGAGGACCAAATTACATGTATCAGGAATAATAACCCAATTGTGTCAGATACCCTACCCCAAAAACATCAAAAGCACTGATACAAGTAGTGAGTTTTATTGAAAAAAGAAAAAAACTGTAGTTTTATGCATTGGATGAAAAAAAAAACTCACATCTATATCTCCCTCACAAAAATGGAAGTTGCTGCTTTTTCATAGTACAAACTATTAAAAATTATAAACAGATTAGTTAAGATAAAATTTAATAAAAACCACAAGACAAGAGCCATGAAGCAAGAAAAATTAGTTTTACAACACATGAATGTGAATTTGTCAACAAAATCAAATAAAATTTATTTATAATACAAACAAAGGTAACTAAGATACAAATTAAAATAACAACGAAAATAATATCATCCATAAAGGAATTTGATGACCTGGGCATTCCCCATATGAGAATGAGTTTTGTTATTATAGAATAGATGCCTGATTGTATTTCAATTGTAACTCCGTTTTATCACAAGTATCTTTATCTTTAATAAAATTGCCTTGTTAAGTGCATTTTTCTCATCTAGCTATTAGTTTTCAATCAAAACCATCAGATTTTATTATGTACACTCTATAAAATTTCATATAATTAACTCTTCAGTTGTGTATATAATGCCATATTTAGGCCACACCACGAGCCCAAGTATATATTGATGCAACTATGAGAGAATGCAGAAGAAAGTTATATAAAATGGAGGAACATATGAAGAAAAAAAAAAGCATGAACCAAAATGAAAATGTAAGATTATCATTATTACCTTAAATAGGTATAAGATAAACATCATTGATATATCTATATCTCAGACAAAATAATTTAACCTTCAATGCACTAATAATGATTAGTCAAAGAAAAGGCATAATAAGCACCCATTATATCATATCATATGTATTCTGCAGTTTGAACTAATTATGCTTTGCAACGTATTTGATTCAAATAATATCCAGTGTTTCATATTAAGAATAGCAAAGCAGAAATTAAGAATGAACTTTGCAAAGTTTGATGTCAAAGGAGAAGTGCACTTGAGACTGATTAACATACACATGGTTGATATTTTTTTCACGTTTCTGAGTAAAAACAGCAATATATTTTCAGTTTAACAATTATATGGCAAAAAGGTTCTAACTAGAGAAAAACTAGATATGCATCAAGGTTAATCATTCTAAGCTGCACTCAGGTTTAATATTTTAAAGGAAAGAATCCTTTTTCTCATCAAATTTTCAGCAATGAAACCCCCTTCCCCTCCCCATATCATTGCTATGGAGAAACTGATAATATAAAATTATGTCTTAGTCATATGTCAGAAACTATAAGTAATAAGAACAAAGCAGTAATTATTTGGTATTGGATGTAAGAAGTCACCTTGCCATCAGCTCCTGGTGATGCAGAAAATGTAGCTTGCGGTTTTTTTATATCATCATCAGATGAACATTCGGAACATACAAAATGATCTAGTTTCTTTGCTTCTTCAATAGTCATGCCCACACAAGCAGGATGATACCTACAAGAAAATCTACAAAGATTGAAATATGTGTTCTATATAACATTTGGCGATTCCAACAGATTTGGAAATAGTCAAGAGGATGACTGTAGGACACTTTTTAGATTTAACACTCTTTCACGGTAACAAACAAGTCATGCCAACAAAGTTGCAAGCTGAGGCCATAAGTGCACTAGAATTTGCATCCCCAACATTACATAAACACCAATATATATCAAACATATCTTGGTACAAATTTCATCACTTTGGATAAAACAATCAGCAGAATGAAAGGCTTTTGCATCCTTTAATTTATATTGATTGACACATATATTGGATAAAAGAAACAAAAGAACCTATAGTCACAATAACAAAACCACATATAAATATTGGCACTTACAAAGACACACAAAATTCATCTGTCCCTGAAATTTTAGCCATGCATAGCTCTCAACAAAATGAACAATCTTTTATATATTCACTCTTTCCTTCTTAGTTTCTCTCTCTTTTTTTTAATGCAAAAGTAAAATGCTTTTTCAAGAACAACATTAGAAAAGCTTCCATAAGCCAAGATAGAGCTTTTTGTAAAGAGTTTTACGATCATATTGGACCATGGGAATCATCTTCCATTTTCCACGCGAATGGACCTCTCTTTAGCATTATAGGCCGCTCATTCTGCAGGTGCTGGAATCACCTAATCCCTTCAACCCAGTAAATAACATCTAATGCTCAAATTCAACAAATATAAATAAACAGCCATATATACAAAATGGTAATTCGAAACACAATAATAGGAAACAAAGTAAGCAGAACACACTGATTTTACCAATCCTTGCACCCTTCACATTGTACCATAAGGTCATCCGGATTATATGGCATCTCACACTTGCAATACCTTAAAAAAAAAAGGATAAAACCCCATTAGTCCTAAAAACCAAAATCTCCTTTTCCACAATTAATAACAAAAAAATATATTAAATAAGGATAAAATATGTTTCTAGTCCCTCAAAATATCTCAAAAATTAATTTTTACTCTTTACACTACATTTACCAAAATTTAAGTTCTTCCACTCCCTCATCAGGTACTAAAAACACGTGTTTCTGTTAAAATGTAAAAACTAGAACGTCCTAGTGTAAAGACTAAAATCAGAACGTCCTAGTATAAAGACTAAAATCAGATACTAAAAGCACCTTTTTTTATTAAAATGTAAAGACTAAAACGTGTTAAATTTTGATGCAAAGTAAAACCAATCACTAAAAACAAGCATTTCGGTAAAAATTAAGGACCAAAAACATAGTAAATTGTTACAAAGACTAAAACTAAAGAATAAAATATAAGTACCAAAAACCTATTGAATTTGCCAAGGGGAATAAAACCGGAGTTTCAAGATACTTTGAAGGACTGAGAACATATTTGAGAGGAAACTCACACAGCAACACGATCAGGAGTGAAAGCCCCAGTTGCGGCCTTGTACTCAAATCTACAATAGTAATCTTCAGCACCCACATTCTCAAGCTTAGTGTAGTTCTTGAAAGAGTGCACTACGCACTTGCCTTCAATGGTGTGCGCACTCTGCACATCATAGTGGTCGGAGAGAAAAAGCTCTTTGGCTCCATGGAACTGTCTACGACCCCCAATGGACTCTTCGGGTCTGTAGTACCACCTCACACGCACCTTCACGTTGTTCCTGTTGTCCTGCTCGATCTTCTCCACACGCGCCACATAAGGGGGTTTCGACGTGTCGGAAGGCCGCATCAGAACACAATCCCCAGCTGCAGCACCAAAGAATCAAACACTGTTAATGACACCCCCACCTCAAAAAAAACATCATGGGCAGCCACGAAACCGAGAAAATGAACAGTTTTGAACGAGAAAAACGCAAAGGGCCGTTGCGCGTGTTACCTCTGACGATCTTGTTGGTTCCTCTTATGGTGTACGAGTCCAAGTCCTTTCTGCCTGGCCTCGTTTTCGCCATGCGTTGCGCGAAGGACGTTTTGGGGAATGTGATTTTTTTTTTTTTCCTAGGTGCTAGTTGGGTTAGAAGGAGAAAAAGAAGAACCGAAGAACCCTAAGGTGTTGGGTGGGGGGTAACACTTTTTTTGGAGTCCAGATCCTCTCCATTTGTGAGGGAAATAGACATCTCCATTTCACAAACCTACAAGTGACACGTGGATACCAAGTTTTCAACGGCTCAAAAGAGAGAAATCGGGTTTACTACCATGACTGTGAGCAGCTGTGTGTCTGAACTTTCTATTTTTATTTTCATGTTTTGATTTTGATTTTGAAAATTTTGTTTAAATTTAATTTGTGTTTGCCTCGTTTTTTTTTTCTCACTCACCTATAATATTCACACATTTATGTTTAATGCCATTTTTTACTTTTTGATCACATACTTTCTTTACCAACAATTGAACTTACATGAACAATTTTTTTTTTCATTTAATAATATTTTAACGTATTTAATAACCAAAATTTTTATAGAATTTATGAAGGTCTTGTAAATTATAGAAATTGAAATTCAATATTTTAAAACAATTTTAGATATTTTTTACGTTCAATTAGGGAATTAGAAATAAGAAATGATAAAAAATAATTGAACTAAAGATATTGGTAACAAAAATTAAAAATAACTAGATTTAAAATTAAACGAAGATGAACTCAAATGATAAGAAATATTTAAGATATTTTGAATATAAGGAATTTAAAGTCAATTTTTTTTCTTCAAAATAATAGTTGAAGGTAGTCGTTATTTGGATAATATAGTATCAATGTAAGAATGTAAGAATATCAAGGGAAAGATCATCATTCTCATAAAAGATATTAAACTCTAAAAAACTTCTCTAATTTTTATATTCTCAAAAGTGTCCTTAAAAAAGGGGGTGTACCCAACTGGGTCTTCCTACCTTTGAGATTTTGCTTAAAATCCACCTCAATTCTATCTTTCATCCATAGCGTAACCTCAAATCCCATGACCAACCATCAAACCAAATCACAATCAATTTTTAGATTTTTTAAAAATAAACTTACCATTTATATTAAAAATCAACCAGATAATTATTTTATTAAAATAATATTATTTTAGAAAAAGCTTAATCAAACACACCACAAATATATTTAAGTCATTTGTTTCCTAATAAGTTCAGTCTAGAAATCAAGTATCGATTGTATCTTTTAAACACAAGAGAGTTTAAAGCTGTCTTATATCTTCGGTTCCATATTTTCAAATGTATTTGATTATCAATATTGAACAGGATGGAACACAACATAAAATATTTCCCTTAATTTTGGGTCTTTTCAAATTTTTTACAAGAGAAGAGGGGAAGATAAATTACCTACAGTGTCAATTTCTTAATGAACAAAAACTAACTCCTTACAGGAACCATCATAAAACTACCAACTTCTCTACGCTCAGTATTTAAGGTTTGATGTCATGATCCCAAGAATGAACAGTTGGATAGAGTTATCTTGATGGAATGTCACAGTAATAAAATCTAAGACGAATAGATACATAATAAAAGGAGATTCCAATACATAATGAAATGTTTATAGCCTCTAGAAGAAGCTGTACAACACACAAAAGCTACCATGGAGACATTCAAAATTCAAGGTTACTACTGCATTATGGTCATCTCTTTCTTCGCTTGGGCTCCACCTGCAAATTCAAAATTTGAATTCCAATAATATAATACCATGATCCAAAAAGCAAATGCAACAGTGGCTAAACAATGAACCAACTATGGCTATCAATTATTTTGTGACCCCATTTGGTTTGAGGGAAATGTTTTCTATTTTTACTTATAATTACAAGCATGTCACCTTATTTTAATTTTGTTTATTGGTTTCCAAAGCTTGTTTTTTTAAACATTTTCTCAAACAAAAGGGCATACGAGAGTTTCGAAATAGTGATCATCAATATCTTACAAATAGCCACTCTGAGTGTTGACAATCATAAGACACTGACCACCTTGCAACTTGCATAATTGATTTACAAGTGACATGATCTATGACATCTAAATAGTAAAACACACCCAAAAGAGATGCAGCTTATATATTTAATAAAAGGAAAACTAAGCAAAGAACAATAATCTTTATTAGGTGTTGGATGGGTGTTTGTGTTTTAGAGGGTGTCTGCGAGTTTCTTTTCCTTCAACATTTAGATGTTTTTATTCAAAAGATTAGTAATAAAACTCAGTACAATTTTTTTATCCAACCTAAAAGCTATCTGAAGTTACTTCCAAGTAAAAATCATAGAACTAGAATCAATTCCTACATATGGAATGGAGTATGTAAACATTCTCTTAAAATCACCAAGTTACTTTTTCAACATGATTCTAGATCATTTAATGAGATTTTATTGAGTAAACTTTAGCCTGTACAATTTTCATTTTAAAATACATTGAATGGGAAACATTTTATTGCTTTCTAAAAATTAGTTGGATGTAATTAGAATCATGATTTGAATTAAATACTTTGCATAGAAGCTTCTACACCTGTTAAAACAAGCTTAATGTCACTTAAAACTAATAACTCTTAGTAAGTAGTATAAATTATTAATCTATCAAATAAGAACCTCAAAGATTTTATGCTCACTTCTCATATAGATCTTTCAGAGGCTACTTGAACCACAAAAATATTATATTAAGAATTAGCAACAAATCTAAAGCAATAACTGACGCAAAATAAAGAAATTATATGTAAAGACCAGCAGCAGCAACAGAATATCATCACTCTGTTTCATATTAACTTCAGCTTAGCATAAACCAATTATAACGAGGATCAAATTGCATTCATAGGGAATAAATAACCCCACTATGCGAGCTCCATGACCCCCAAAAAATCAATAGCAATTGATACAAATGGGCAGATGCCGCTTTTTCATGGCCAATATTATTAAAATTTTGAGCAGATTAGCCAAGTCAAACGCATCACGCAAAGTGAGTGTGCAAGATAATAATAAGGATATCAATTATGCAAAAGTTGACATGAATAAGCACCATTGATCAATCTATATCTAAAAAACAGAAAATTGCGAACTTCAATGCATTAACAAAGAATGCATGCCTGTCAGACAAGAGTATATTCAAACAAATGTATATTTAGCAATCCCACAGCTTGAACTAATTATGATTACGCTTTGCAACATTTTTATTCAAACAATGCCCACAATGTTTCAGATTATGGAAAGCAAAGCAGAAAATAAGACTAAACTATGCAAAGTTTGGTATCAAAACAGGAAACACACACGTTGGCACATGATACTGTTAACTTACACATGCTCAGTACTTATTCATGTGTCTCAGTCAAGACACCAATAATATAGTTTTGGTTTCCGAACTATATGGCAAAAGAAGAAACCCACATTAACTGGTGGAAAACAATGTATGGCCAATTTAAAAACTAGCTGCACTAAGGGTAAAATTTTAAAGAGATTTATTTTTTCTTTTTCCAATCAAACTCTAAATGCTACCCCATATGCTAAATTAGTCATCACTTTTTCAAGCAGTGTGTCCCATTTCCCTCCCCATACCATTGTCAATAGGAAAGTAATTAATAAAAAATTAATGTCTAGTCGAATGTTGGGAACATTAGCCAATAATTATTTGATGTTGGATGCAAGAAGTCACCTTGCCATCAGCTCCTGGTGATACGGAAAATGTAGCTTGCGGTTTCTTCATATCATCATCAGATAAACATTCAAAACACACAAAATGATCTAGTTTCTTTGCTTCTTCAATAGTCATGCCCACACAAGCAGGATGATACCTACAAAAAAACTACAATGATTGAAATGTGTTCTATAGGGCATATAGCAACACTCAACAGATAAATAATTTGATTCTCTTTCAGAATTTACATAGAAGTTATGTGTCAACAAAGGTCCGCATTGACCATAAGTACACTAATTTGCATTATCAATATTTCATAAACATTGATATAAAAAATATATTCAAGTATAATTTTCATCACTTCTGTGAAAACAATCAACAGATGGAATAAGCCTCTACATCATTCAATTTATATTGACTCACATATATTGAAATGAAAGAAACAACAGAACCCGTAGTCATAATAACAACAGCCACCCACAAATACATTGGCACTTTCAGGCAGAGACAAATTTCATCTGTCACTGACATTTAGCTGTGACGCGCACAAGTCACAAGTAAATGAACAATCGATTATATATTTACTCTCATTCATTAGGCCAACATACAATAGGCTTGCATGGGTCAACATGCAGTGTTATATAAGAGTTTTAGGACCATAGATGAGCTTCTTATAGACCTTACAACTTTTTAACATCCTTTAGGCCACTCATTCTACAGGTGCTGAGTATCACATAATTGATAATCCATTCAACCCAGTAAGTAGCATGCAATGCTCAAATTCAACATATATAAATAAGCACCCAAAAAAATAAATTCGAAACTCCAAGTACAACCATAATATATAAAGAAAAGCAGAAAACATTGATTTTACCAATCCTTGCACCCTTCACATTGTACCATGAGGTCATCCGGGTTATATGGCATCTCACACTTGCAATACCTTCAAAACACCAAACAAGAAAAGAAGAAACCCTTTAGTTCTAAGCCAATCCCCTTCCACACAATCAATACCCACCCCCCCTAAAGAAAAAAAAAAACAGATAAATTCTGAAATTCAATTTTAATTCGTATAAAATTTAATAGGTTTTTACTCTTTACATTTACCCAAATTTGACTCTACCATCAGGTTCTAAAAAGTGAGAACATTTAAAATATAAAGACTAAAAACATTGAAGTTTTGTAAAGGCAACAGTGAGATACCAGGAACGTGTGTTTCAGTTAAAAGTTAATACTAAAATCTTATTAAGTCAATATCCTTACAAAGACTAAAATCAAATACTAAAAACTCGAGTTTCACTCAAACCGTGAATACTCATATGTATTAAAGTGTTGTAAAGATCAAAACCAGATACTAAAATCTCTTTTTGTTAAAATTTGAATAGTAAACACGTATTAATGTTTAAAATTTTCAGTTAAAAGTAAATACTAAAATCATATCTAATTCTTATAAAGACTAAAATCAAATAACTAAAAACATGATTTTCACTTAAACAGTAAATACTACAATGTATTAAATTGTTGTAAAGACTAAAACCAGATACTAAAATCTCGTCTTTCTGTTAAAATGTAAATAGTAAAAACGTATTAATTTTATATAATGACTAAAAATCCGTTATTAAACTGTTATGAAAATGGAAAGACTAAAATTGTATACTAAAACAATGTACATAAAAAATGTGTTTCTGCACTAAATTTTCTCTGGATAAAAATCGAAATTTCGAAATATTAAGAAAGAGACAAAGACAGATTTGAGAGGAAACTCACACTGCAACACGGTCAGGCGTGAAAGCCCCAGTTGCAGCCTTGTACTCAAATCTACAATAATAATCCTCAGCACCCACATTCTCGAGCTTAGTGTAGTTCTTGAAAGAGTGCACTACGCACTTGCCTTCAATGGTGTGCGCACTCTGCACATCATAGTGGTCGGAGAGAAAAAGCTCTTTGGCTCCATGGAACTGTCTGCGACCCCCAATGGACTCTTCGGGTCTGTAGTACCACCTCACACGCACCTTCACGTTGTTCCTGTTGTCCTGCTCGATCTTCTCCACACGGGCCACGTAAGGGGGCTTCGACGTGTCCGAAGGTCGCATCAGAACGCAATCGCCAGCTGCAGCACCAAAGAACCAAACGCTGTTAACGACAACCCCGCCTCAAAAAAACCTCACGGGCAGCCACGAAACCGAGGAAAGGAACCGTTTTGAACGAGAAAAACCCAAAGGGTCGGTGCGTGTTACCTCGTACGATCTTGTTGGTTCCTCTTATGGTGTACGAGTCCAAGTCCTTTCTGCCTGGCCTCGTTTTCGCCATGCGGTGCGCTAAGGGTGTTTTGGGGAATGTGAATTTGTTTTTCTGGTGGCTTGTTGTTGAGTTAGAAGGAGAAGAAACTAAGCGAAGAACCCTAAGGTGTGGGTTGGGCGAAGGGTGACACTTTTTTTTTGTGTGAGGAAGGGAGTGACTGTGACGCTTCGCCTGCGATTTTATTACTGTGACTTTTTGGGAATGCAATGCGACGATTCTTGGTCGGTTCATTACATTTGACTGCTTCGTAAAATTTCCTTGTCCTGAGATCTGCGCTAAGCAATTTCCTAATCTGCTTCATTCATGATTTCATATCTAATCTAACCACTTATCAGAATACTTTTAGATACCAGCACACATTCTTCTTTTATGACTAACCATTACCAACACAAATATTCATACTATTTTAACCACTTTGATTTTGACTTTATTTCTAAATTTGCATTTTGTGAACTATCTACACATTGTTATATTTTCATCGTTAAATTAAATTTATTAAAACTCTAAAATTGCAATTAACTATAAATCTTAACCAATGAAAAAGAGTCTGAGTTATTAATATTTTTACTCATTCGAACTCATTCTCTTTTATTATTAAAATAATGTTAGAGTATCGAATGTATGAGGGGCTTAGTAGGATGCATCGTGCTACAGGTCCTACAACTTTCTCCATTTGACTTTGGCATATGGGTGGTCTCAGGGGAGTCTCTAGTCATTGGGGAGCAAAGCATGTTGGGTCCAACCCTAATTCATGCTACAATAAATGAATCAAATACACAACAAAATCACATGATTTGAAAAAAAAAAACTACGGTAAAATAAGCAAAATGAATAACGAAGATTGAGAAAACATTAATCCTTTTGTTTATTTCAATGTGTAATAAATGAAAGCATTTATTGTGAAAAATGTCGTTGGAAGTATGTTTCGATGTGTAAAATGATAATTAAATATTATTATTTTAAATTATATTAATTTTTAAAATATTAGTAAATGTGCTATTAAGCATGAGATCTATATAAGAAATCATAATAATTAATTATTGATCATTTATCTTTATCTTTATGTAGATAATGTTTTGATAATTGAAAACTACTTGGATGATATAATTGAGTTTAAGAAAAGTACCATATAAGAATTTTAAATAATAAATTTAGGAGAGTTGGCATATTTTTTAAGCATTGAATTTGTAGGATGTTCATACACCAAAAGAAATATGTTGATGATATTTTAAAAATGTTTAATATGAGTGATTGTAAATTAGCTATTATTCCTATTGAGGTTGAAATATTTCTTCCATTAGAAGAAAATGATTAAGTAATATATTCTACTCTATACAAGAAGATTTTGGGATTACTAAGATATTTGTGCAATATTAGCATATAATGTTGGGTTGATAAATAAGTTTTATAAAAGAGTAAAAAATTATTATTTACAAACATTAAAGAGAATTCTAAGATACTTGAAAGGTGCTTTAAATCTAAAAATTTATATTAGGAAGATAAAAAAAAAAATATGATTATAATAATTTGGATCTAGATAACAAAATAAGCTAGGTCTCGAATCCCCAATCGATCTAGAAAGTAGCGGGATGAGCGAGTAATTTTAGTCTCGTCAACCTCGCTTTAGCCTACCTCTCCCAATTCACCAACCCATTTTGGTCTACTCCTCCCGATCCGCCAATTTAACTAGTCAAGAATGGGGCATGTAAATTGATTTGCTTTAAATTAATATTTATATATTAAAATAAAAATAATTATAATTAAAAATATATATTTTTTATATTATTGAGATATCTAAATATATTATAATATTATAATTTAAATTATAAAAAATAATTATAATTATTTATTTTGACACATAAATATAATCATATTTTCAATTTATCTAATAAAAATATTAAATAATAAATAAATATTTAAATATTATTTATATAATTAAGATATATTTTTAAAAATATATATAAGAATATTTATATAAAAAATTATTGATCGACTAAGGTCTCGTAGCTTATCTTGTTCCGTTTTTAGTCGTCTAGAGATGGAACGTACTAAAACAGGACAGGATGAACTGATCTGTTTTGACATCCTTCTCAAATATGTGTGAAGACAACAAAAATGAAAAAAATATCTTAAATTATATTTTTAAATGAGTTCAAAGTAGAAAAAGTATTATTGCTTTGTAACATGTGAGACATAATATATCTCTCTAGATAACTTATGAAGTAATTTTACTTAAATATTAATAAATGAACTCCATTTGAAATTACTTAGATTTATGAGATTATTAATTGATAAACATCAATTATGGATTTGACAAAACATCTAACTACACATGAAAAGAGAGCAAGCATATAGAAATAAAAGTTTCCCTTGTTGAGGATTAGTAAATAAGCAAAAGCTTTAACTTGAGTTTTACATATTTGAGGCACAATAAACAAACAAACAAATGTGTTAACCAAATCTAGGAAGAGTATCATGTTCAAGAAAATAGGAGACAAATTAGGATTAGTTTCTCACGAGAATTTGAATTAAGAGGAAGTGTTATAATTAATTAAAATTCTACTATCAAACAACTGTTTGTTAGATAAATAGTTAAAAGAATTTGGTTCTTTAAACATGTACAAATACAATGATATATTTGTGTTAGAAACAATAAACTATATCCATTTTTATTCTATTTTATTTCCTTATCAATTTACTGTTAAACACCAATCATTTTTAAATAGAGATTCTTAAAGTTTGTAATATTAAGAAGGTATTAATATGTATTTTTTTAAAATATGATTGTATTTTATTTTATTTTATTTGACTTTTGAATTTTGAAATTTTTTTATTTCCTAATAAGTAAATATATAGATTATTTGTTTTTAGTATCTATTTAATATTTTCAATTAAAAAATTCAAAACAAACAAAATACTAAAAGATAAAAAATATTATTAGAGGCAAAGCAAAGTAACACGAGTCAAACAAATTATTTCGACATAAAAACTAAATTTATTTTAAACAACAAAAATACATTCGAACCAATTATTACAAAGAAGTAGAGTCACTAAACATAATTCAAAACATCTTTGAGAACGAAAACCAAAACCAATGATAGGAGATAGGAGAGACATGGAGGAAAAACAGTCCATAGAGGGAAAGTGGTGCGAAAGCATGCAGTAAGACCCACGACAGCACATACGATTGCGACAACCAATACATCAGCTGAGAATTGCCAACTGATATCTCTCACATATATAAGGATGGAGATCACCACAAAGCCAAGAATCATGAATACTGCTCCATAAATCTGCATTCAACAAACCTTCATGTAAATATAATATAAATCTGCCAAAATGCTACATGGACAGAGCATGCTAACTTTTTATTTATATTTACTTAAAAAAGACTAATTTGTTAAACACAATCTTAGTCGACAATGTAAACATGTTACGTTGTCATTAAATCATAGTCTGTCATATAAAATGAGCATTATACTCGTAAGTTAAACTCTACAAACATATAGGCCGATTAGGGAAATGAATTTGGACATCAAAATGACTAACCTCATAAATTGTTTGAGAAGTATTGCCGTTCTTCTTATGGCTAGCTTCTCTGATGGCTGAGCTTGCTTCTCTAAAATTTGTAGCCAGGGGTACTAGAATAAATAAGATGAAAAATGAGAAAATTCCTGCTTCTTCAGAGAATTTCTGGACACTTTCTATCAGGGGCTCAGCAAGAAGAGACAACATAGTAATTCCTAGCACCACATATCCCAATGCATTTAACCATGCATGTACTCCTTTGTTTTGTTTACCTTTCACCAACTTTTCAACATGTTCCCAGGTATAGCACATTATCATTACAAAGAATGCAACTGTAAATTTGATTTATTCAATGTTTGATGCTATAAAATTGCAAATTGGTGAGTTATTTGAGTAAAGGAATAGTGTGCATTACTTGATGATTTTCATGAGGCAGAGACATTGAGTGAGGTACTTGACCTGAACTTGTGTTCAGCAATTTTGTAAACCTATTAACAAATTCCTTCTCACTTATTTCATCGTCTCTGTTAAGGTCAAGTTCTTGAAACATTTTTGTAACTGCTTCTTCTGCATTATGAAACTGAATGTCCTGCACAAGTTTTTGTAACTCAGACCTTGAGACCTTGTTGTCCTCATTGGTATCAATTATTTCAAATAACCTGTTTCACTACAGCTATGAGAACAGGGAAAATGCTTAGCTCAAAGATTTATAATAGGTTGATAGTGCACTCATTTCCATATTTGATAAACAAAACAACTAATCAACCTTGAGTTTTTGAACAGTATTTGGTTATTGCTTACATAGTTGAAGTCATTGAACATCAAATTAATAATTGAGAATAACAGTTAGCATTTAGATATTACAAACAATTCAAGATTATGACCTTTTGATAGAAGATTCCGTTGGTAAATTTTGGGTCATGCATATATATGATATATAATTTAAATATATTAAGGTTATTATTTATTAAGTCAAATAATAAAGTGATCTGACTAAATTAAAGTTTTGGCTAAAGACATATGCCATGAAAATAAAATTATGTAGAGACTATAAATTGATTTCTAATTTGACGTAGGGCCAAATTGGAAATATTAAAACTTAACTAATTAGCCTAATTTTGATTATTTAAAGGGTCATAGTCCCCTTCTGCGACATACACAGAACGTAAATCTCAGTCTCGTTCCTTTCTTCCCCCGTCAAGAGAGAAAATTCAAAGAGAAATAGACAAAAATCCATCGATAATCCCTCAAGACACATTTTTCTTTATTACAATTTTTAGAATTAGATTAAGAGAATTGTTACTGGCAAGATTCAAACCTAGTACCTTCGAGTTGGAGACTGATACTCCAATCCAACCACTAGGTTAGTAAGATTTTCTAATAATAATTTACAAATAAATTATATTTATATATAAATAAATGTATATCCGTGTAAATATATAAATATAAAATATATAAATACAAATATATTTAAATATTTTGATATATTTATATATTTTGATATATTTATATAGTTATATATTTATATGTTGGATGTGAGGACGCGTTCGATCGGTGAAAGTGTGTGTCGTGTTTATTAAAATATATTTAAAATTAAGTAATTATTATATAATTTTAAATATTTAATTTTTTTAATTTAATATTGATTTTTAAAAATAAATTTTAAATCCGTTGGTAAGTAAAGAAATAATTACCGACGGATATATCCGTCTGTAACTAATTGTCCATTTATTAAAATTATTAATTTACCTAAGGATATATCCGTCGGTAATTATTTGTTCATTTATTGACAAATTTACCGATAGATATATCCGTCGGTAATTATTTGTTTATTTATCGACAGATTTATCAATAGATATGTCCGTTGATAATTAATTATTCATTTATCGACGGATTTATCAACGGATATATCTGTCGGTAATTAATTATTCATTTACCGACGGATATATCCGTCGGTAAGACTAAATTCCATAACTACTCTAAATCCGTCCGTAATCACTTATTTTCTGACCGTTCTATCCATCGAAAAATATCTATCGTTAAATAAGAAATTTCTTGCAATGTCTCTTCAATTGGCGTTCAGTCCTTGTATGTTCAATCCATGGCTTGATAAAAACCTGTTTTAAATGAAGTTTAAGAATATGCTTAATTTAGCAAGAAAATGAATGAAGGCGCCTTTCTGTTCCTACCAAACATCACCCCAATTTCACTGGTAGATAGTAATGTGTGACATTCATGTCATAAGTTCTTTCCTTGTCTACTACAGTAGCATGTAAAAGTTTAAGCCTATAATTACTCTCATGCAAAGACACACAACTCTCACCTCAATTTCACTTTCCATGCAGTCATGTTACAAGGTACCTGATACATGTTGCCCAGTGATTGTTTGGACGGGTATTTTCTGTCCACAGCATGCCTTGTTTGGTTAAAATATGTGTTAAGACTGGGACAAATTCTTCCTTGGTTATAATTTGGTCACCATTTGGGTAAAAATTCTAAAAATGTCTGCCATCTGTTCATCATTGATATTTGTTTCAGTTACTTTGTCCTGAAGCAGAAGCTTTATTTCAGACCGCAATAAATCCCTGCCCCCATTTTGATTGATCTCATTATATAGCCTGCATCAGGAACTATTGTTACTTATGTATATATATGAAGTATAGTACAGATTGCTGTCTAATCTTTGAGATCAGAGAACTCTTTCTTGAAATCTCACTCACCCATTTATGACTGATTCATTGGGAGTTCCACCCTCACTGAGATGCTTTGCAAAGTTTTCTTTTCAACATGCTGGAAAATTTTTAATATTACATGACATTGTTTTTTCTAGCCTTGCTCTCTCTATTACGGGTTCAAAAATCTGTAGGTAAAAAAATAGTACATCATTATGCAATCACTACAAATAAAATAAAATCTTCAACATGATGCATAGTGTTGGATAATTAACCTGGTAGATGAAATATGAGATGAGGAAAATGACTGCAACGATAGAAGCAATGATCAAGGTCACAGTGTGTGGTGTATAAGAGAGGTGGAATAAAGTGGATATCTGCATTATGAGGAGTGGCACAACTGAGGAAACCATAATTATTGCCATCGTCCTTGTCTTTTCATCCATCGTAATGCCAAAACCTATAAATCCATAAATTATTGACAGAAAATCAAAATAAATTAGTAAAATAAAGAGTCAAGGAATTAAATGCTCGAACTATAGAACATTTGCAAGCATGCATCAATATTAAAGTTAATTACTTCTAATGTTTTAAATGAAGGAAACCATCTTTAGTTTTAGCAACACATGTAAAGTTAATTAGTACATGCTATCACCATAAAACTAACTTTAAATAAATTTAAACTTGGTTTCCATCTTTGAAATACAATGGATTTTACTTTTATAATTTCTATAATGATTTGTATTAAATCCATTTTTTTAATATTTTTATCCTTATTAGTTTATTTTAATCCATGCAAAAAGATGATACCTTTTGATGATGATTACTTTGAGGCCTTTGTTGAAAACATTTCAATGACATTTTTGAAAATAAGAGAAATTATATAATAATGGTTATTACTAATAATCGTCGTCGTATAAGATATACAATGACGATTATTAAAATTATTGTTGAATGTGGACAACACCACCTCTTCAATGACGATTATATTTTAACCATAGTTGAATGTGGGCGTTTGACGACGGTTATATTTTAATTGTCATTAAATGTGGGTAACACCACCTCTTCAATGACGGGTTTTTAATAACTATCGTTGTATGTCCTATATGACGATAATTTTTAGTAATAATCATTGTCATATTTTCTAAAAACTTATTCTCGCTCATCCTCGTCCTTCACTTTTGTCGTCTCCTCCTTCCTCTCTGCATCTACCTCTGGTTCTCTCCCTCTCGCCATGCTCCTCTTGTGTTGGTTCGTGAGCTTGTTTGATGGCGGTTCGTGAGAGCTTATTCTACCTCTCTAGTAAGTAATTGATGTATCTTGGTTAATATAGTTTGATTTAAGGTTAGCTTTGTGATGATTGATAGTGATATGATTTTTTTTAATGAATTTTTGTTGAGTCTAGGGATGTCTGATCCTCGATATTTGTATTGTTAACTAAATTATGTAGTTGTGTATGTATTATCGAATCTAGAAATGGATAAAAGTTGCATTAATGGTGTCCACATAACTGATGAGTACGAGAAAAGAGTGGAAATTTTTTTATTATTTGCATAATGGAACACTTCAACTAGTTCTACTTGTGGAATATTTAGGTGTCTATGTGTTTATTGTCTTAATTGAAGATTATTAAATGTTGAGCAAATTAGGAAACATCTTTTATGTGACAATTTTCTTAAAAATTTCACAATTTGGACATGACATGGTGAATTATTAGATTTGTTATACGTAATGAATCTGATCATGATTTAGTTGATTCAAACATAAATAATCGACTATAGGATATGATTCATAATGTTGAAGCAAAATTTTTTGCACAAACGCATATGTATGAAGATATGTGTAGCGATGTAAAAACTTCACTTTATCCTAGTTCAAGTAACTCCACATGGTTGTCAATAGTTTTAAGATTGGTAAGTTTGAAATGAACAGGTGAATTGGTAAAAGTTTCATTGAATTGCTTCAGTTGTTGAAGGAAATGCTTCCATAAGAAAATACATTATGCAATCATAATTATGAGGCTAAAAAGATATTTTGTTCAATGGGTATGGAGTATAAAAAGATACATGCATGTCCTAATGGTTGTATTTTATATAGAAATGAGTTTGAAGAACGGAAAAGATATCCAATTTATTAGTTATCTCATTACAAAGTGAAAGATAATAATTAAGATAGTAGTGAGGATATTACTATTGAGGGACCCATGCCAAGTCCATTTGATATCTTCCAATAATTTCAAAGTTTAAGCGTTTGTTTGTGAATCTTAAAGACGTTAAAAACCTTAGATGACATGCAGATGGACAAACATGTGATGGATTGATTCATCATTCACACTCTATGGAATGGAAAGAGTTTGATAATGAGTTTTCCAAATTTGATGCTGAGTCAAGAAATCTTAGACTTGGATTGACTATTGATGGAATGATTTCATTTAATAATCTAAGTCATAATCATAGTTCTTGGTTTGTTTTGTTATTTATTTATAACCAACCTCCAAGCTTGTATATGAAGCATAAATACATGATATTGCTTATGATGTTCTTGTTGGGTTGATGAAAATAACATATCTTGAAAAAATTTACGTCACATTGGATAAGTAATGAAGTGGGTGATAGTAACTATATAATTAGCTTAAAGTCCATGATGTTTCTTGTAAGACCCAGGAAAATAATTATATATTTTAAGGTAGAAATTGGAAGTAAGGGAAGTAATTAAATTAAGAATTTAATAATATTATAGAGATTAAGAGTGACTCATTTGGTTAGATCCTTCTCTTGAGATGTGGGGGTCATGGGTTTGATTCTTGTATGTGCATTAGAACAATTATAATTTTCTATTATTTTATAATTATTTAGAAAATACTCATATGTTATAATTATTTTATAATTTTATAATTGTTTAAAAAATACTCATATTTTATAATTATTTTCTATTATAATGTGGGGGTCATGGATTCGATTCTTGTGTGTGTGGGTACATTGTAATTT